GAATATTCCTGCAGGTCATTTTTGGATAGGTACCTGTTGAGTGACAGTGGTACTATGAAGATATTTTTACTTTTCTAATCAGGAAAAAAAAATAATTCTTTTTTTCTCCATTGTTCTTTTAATTTCCATTATGGATAGAGAAGAGAAGCCCTAATAGCAGAAGGAGGAATAGTGCTTTGGCAGTAATCCTTAAATGTTGAGGTTTCCCATTCAAAATGTAGGTGCACAGTGACACCTTCTGGAAGCTTGTGATGAGCGTTACCGAGCAGCTTCCTCCATCGTCTGGAAGCTCACAGGGGGTTTGTGTATGTAGAAGCTAATCACGTTCTGGCCAACATTTTGCCNGAACATACATGTGGGGCTGGACAACTCTGAGAAAATAGATCACCCTGGAAAATAACCTTATGGTACTGAAACAAATGTCAAAGTGCTAAGCAGAGCCACCAATTAAAAAACATTCTACCTGCATGGAGATCTAAACCAAGACTAACCACTGTGATAATTTTTTTAAGTGTTAGTCCTAATGTGATGCAATTACAGGTGTCAGCATCTGGTCTTGAGGAAACTCAATCCTCCAGCAAAAGGCTAAGAGACACCCTGTGACATTCTGAATGACATGGCATTGGGAGGAACTTCACAGTGGGACTTTAGCACAAAATGGATTCTACTGCTGAATTAACACATAGCCATTAAAGTTGATGAAAAATTAATACTAACAGGCATCCCTGCATGTAGGACATGTTAGTTAATGGCCTGTGGCACCATGCTACGCTATAGTTGGTCTTACATGTTTGAGGACTTTGGTTTATTCTGCCTCACACCAACACTGAGCACACATCTTCTATTTGAAAGCAATTACTAACAGATCCATGAAGAAAAGTTACTTACACCTGTAAGAAACTGATATTGAAAATATATAAATATTTCAAAGTTCAACAAAGCCGATTCCCATCATATCACTGGTATTATGTTCACTTCAAAATACGGTTATTTAAATGTATCTTTTATTTTGCTTTTTACATTTTTAGGTTTTATCAAGGGATAAAAGAAAGAAAATACTAGAATACTGCTGATACATAAAGAAAATGGAAGTTTAGCTAAAGTCCCTGGAAACTCATTCTCCTTTTGAAAATATCTCCTCTCCCAGAAAAGCTTCTCAGTCTTCAAAATGATTTATAACAAGTGCCCTTTCATGTCAATGAAAAAAGTCAAAAATGGCTTCTTACTCTCTGTTTGAATTGCTCCCTAATTCACTATGAATCAGCTCCATTCAACAGTCTAAAACCTCTCTATTTAACAATTTAAGTGAGCAGGAATATATTGAACCTGAACAAAGCAGAGCAGTAGTGGGGACCAAGAGTAAGGTCACAGCCATGCACATGAAGAGTGAGGTACTCTGATAGCAGGGAATTTTCTTTCACACATGAGAAATGCATGTTCACAATTCTTTTAGGGAGAGAGAGAGGGTCTCAGTCTGTGTCTCTCAGCTCTCTCAACCTTAAACCCCATTTCATCCAAGTCCAAGCACTTGTTTATGCAGTTCTGTCTTCTGCAGCTGGACATCAGCATGCATCCATTATTCAGGGAGAAAGGAAAAGCTGACTATGTTACCAACTTTAGGACATTAAAGGACAATGTCCCCAAGAAGAATGATGTTTTGGGAAGGGCTGGACCTTGACTGAAAAAATAAAGCCCTGAACAGGAACAGGTAGAAATCATTGCTAGAAAAGACAGTAGACCTCCACACCACTTAGCTGTTTCAGGATTTAGGTGGCTGTGTACACAGGCAGTGATGCAGATGTACCTGCCCACTGAGCTAGACAGGTTAGCCTACAAATACCAATCACTGGAAGCTAGTTAGCTTAGATGGATTTGTTTATCTAACATAATTTATGCTAGGGAGCATTAGTACCACATTTTTATACAACACTACGCACCATCAGTATGTGTCATTAATTTTGAAAAAAACAAACAAACCCAAACCCAAACTTCTTTAATTAGTTGTTATTTACAACCATAGAATGGTTGAGCTGGAAGAGACTTTAAAGATCATCTTGTTCCAAACCCCCTGCTATGGGCAGGGACAACAGATCCTGACCCTCCTGAGAGAAATGCAAAGGATGATGGAGCAAGAACACACACAGAGAAGTCACACTATACCAGTATTTTAATCTTAAACTTGTTCAAGCATTCTTTCTAGGATTTAAAAGCCACCTGAGACCACAGTCTAGAAAGGTCTTAGAGGAGGCACATTTACTCACCAGTCTGAATTAAATGACTGCCCTTCCTGGCAGTGAGACTAAGAGCTGAATTCAAAGGCCGGTGGTCTTAACAGGTTTTTTGAACTTGGTCTTAGGCCACATGAACAACTGCCTTGGTACACTTACTGAGACTTTCTTCCCTTTTCTCTGATATGGAGTGAGGTAGAATCATTTAATCCTAATTATCAAGCCTGTAATATATCCATAGATTCTCTCTAGGCCTTGGCAATTATGGTTCAGTACAGAAGTCTATTTAACATCCCAGTTGTGTGCTTTCTGCCTTGACCAAAGGGGCAGAGATTTGCAGAAGGACTCCTTGCCACTGGGATGGAGAAATACTGAGGTTGTGGGGCAGAAATAAAACTTTCTATTTTTTCTTTTCTTCTGGGAACATTGTCCAGCTTCTATCCTAGTTCATCTCTCCAAACACATCTAGGGGAACTCTCTGCTGCTAAGCAACAGCAAACTCTCCTTCTGTGCAGGAATGGCAGCTTTCCCTGCTAGTCTCAGCTCTAACAAGCACCTTCCCCTGGCATCAATAGCACCACAGCTGTGTTATCCCACTGAAGTAACAGTGCCTTTGGCCTTCAAGGGCAGTGCCATCACTGTGGGAAGGACTTTCTTCACACTGTGTAGGCTTCAGTTCCTCCCCGTATCTTTGATGTCTGGTTGTAGGCCAGAAATAGGGATGATGTTTTGCGAAGGGCTGGACCTTGATTGAAGAAATGATGCCCTAAACAGGAACAGGTAGAAATCGCTGCTAGAAAAAAAAGAGAGGCAGAGCCCGCACAGCGGTGATTTCTGTCAGTTCCTACTCAGGTAGGGGTCATGGTCTAGCAAGGCGGGTCTCACTGTGCAGGACAGTGGCACTCAGCAAGGAAGGGCAAGGTCACACTGCCCTGCTGCCTGCAGAGCGGGGCGGGCTCTCTGAGCTGTCCGGGTCGGGACCCTGGACAGCGCCAGGCGACCGTAGCTCTGCTCCGCTCCGATCCCCGCCGCTTCGCTCGCCTGCCGCCGCCGCAGCTCCGTCCGCTGTCTGCGGTTGGCTTCTTGGGTGGGGATTTTTTTAGGGGGGTCTCTTTTCGCGTAGGTAGTAAGTGGCCGACATATTCCCCGTGCTCCTCTGTCACTATGGCCAAACCCCAAAGAGCACTGGCTGGGTAGGAGACATCTCCTCCAGCCCTCACCTATAGGGACGGCTCAGAAAAGTTAAAAAGACAGAGCGTGCACGCAGGGGGTGCGGAGGAAGGCGGTAGGGGTTCAAGGCTGCCACGCCTCCACCCCTCGGATTAGCACCGCGGTGGAGGAGCTTTGCTAGGCTGTGCAGGGTTCCCGCTTGCCCCCCCGACTGATGCTCACTTTGTGTTTCTCTTTCTCTCTCTCTCTCTTCCCGCCCCGTCCCCCCGCTCCCACACCTCCCCCGCACGCTGCAGACTCCGAGGCCTGCCAGGCCCCTCGCCCCGCTGTCAGCTCTGCTCTCCAGCCCCTTCCTGCGGCCGCAGTTCCCCGCCTGCCGGCCCTGCCCGCGCTTCGTCTCCGCGCCCCGTCGAGACGCGCCGGGGCCCCGCTTCTGCCCCTCGGGCTTGGCGGCGCTGCTGGTCGGGCCCGGGGCCCGCTGCCCGCTCGCTGCGCTGCTGCGGGGCCGCTGGGCTGAGCCACTGCCGGCTTCCGCCCCGGCCCCGCCGCCGCCGCCGCCGCCCAGCCGCCTCCCCCCGGAGCGCCGGAGATGCCCGGCGTGCCACGGAGCCGCGCCGCCGCAGCCCCGCGCTGCCCCCGAGCCTCCCGGCGCCGTGAGTACCGCTCCCGGGGCCGCATCCGCCCCTTCCTTCTCCTCCTACTCCCCGCGCCAGGGAAGCCGCTGTCCGCCCACGTGCCCCAGCCGGCACCGGCGTGGGAGTCTCGGGGGCGCAGGGCGAGCTCCCGCGGCTCAGAGCCCCGGGCGCTACAGGCGAAGCCCGCTGCTCCCCATCTGCCATCCCCATCGTTTCCCGGGTCCGCGGGCTCCAGCGAGGCGGCTCCCGTGGCCGCCGTGCTCCGCACCCGGTGCGCGGGCGGGAAGCGAACAGCCCCGACGGCAACGGGGAGTCCCGCTCCGGGAACCGGGAGCGCGCAGAGCGTTCACGCACCGAATCAGTCTGGGTTTCACGGGAAGACAGTGTCACTCTGCCCGTGGACGGCGGTGGCACTAGCCAGCCGCAGTCGTCCCGTTAACCCTTGTCCGGCAGACGGCATGTGGGACAGCCCGGGGAGTGGAGGCGGCGGATCGTTATCGGTGAGATAATCCCCAAAACGTGGCGGTGTTGGTAAGGGCGCCGCTGCCGAGAGGGCCGCCCCGGAGGAGCGGGGTGAGCGCCGAGCCCGGCGGCCCCGGGCACTCGCCTTCCCCGGAGCCGCGCTGCGCTGCTGCCGCAGCCGGGTCACAGCTGCCCCGCTGGAACGGGAGAGCCAGCCCGGGAGAGCCCGGCGGCGGTGAGCTGTGAGCCGCTGGAAGGCAGGAGGCAGCTGGGGGATGGGAAATGTGTATCCCTGCAGTCACTTAAAATGGGACCGTGTTCCAGCCCCGGGTTGACAAGCCCGGCTCTCCCGTAAGGCATCTGTATTGAAGCATCAGTACCGAGCCCCGAGGCGGCACTGCCGCCTCTCCAAACCCTTCCCATCCCCTCCCATCGGCACACACACACACACACACACACACACTGTCCCGCACACTCCACTCACACGCTCCCACGCCAGTCTCTCCACGCGGCACCGGCCCCATGGCTTCCCCCGCACCCTCCCCACTCCGCCGCCGCGGTGCGGGCGCTGCCGCGTTCGATCCCGTTGCAAACCGGCCCTGAGCCGCAGCGGCCCCCGGTGTTTGCCTCGGCGGGGGCGGCCAGCGCAGCCCGCCCCGTCGGGTTATGCCGGTGCGGGGAGTGCAGGCTGCCGGCCTCGCTCCCTCCGGCTGCGGTCGCGGCAGCGGAGCCCACCCGCGGCCGGCACCGTGAGAGCCCACAGGGGCCGGGCGCATGCGTGGGGCCGGCGAGCCGCCGATCCCGGCCGCCCAGCCCTCCGGGACAGGAGGGGAAGGGGAAGGGGGCGAGAACGTCCGTCGGGGCCCCGTCGCCGACACAGTAAGTAGCGCTCGGTGCCGCCCGGGCACCTCGGTCCCGCGGTGCGGGCAGCCGCGGGCTCCTCGCCGGCAGCTGCGACCCCCCGCGCCGCAGCTGGGTCCGGTCCGGGTGCAGCGGGACGGGACAGGACGGGACGGGCGGCGCTGCCGGCCGTGGCTCCAGCGGCCGGGGCGGGAGAGACGCTGTGGCCGCGCTCCCCGGGAGGAACCGGAGCGAGCCGGCGCAAAAGGCGCTTCCCCGATATGCCGGAGGGCTCGGGAGCTGCAAGACGGGAGCGCCTGGCGTTCGGACTTGCCCCGCCCCGTCCCGTCCCATCCCGTCCCTCCCTACGGGCTCCCGGCGCGGCTCCCACCGCGTCCCCAGCGCAGAGCCCGGGTCGCACCCGGCTGACCGCGGCTCCGGGAGCGGGGAAGGACCCCTCCCCAGGGCGGGATCGCACCTCGCGCCCCGTCACCTCCCTGGCCTCAGCGCAGGTAACACCTCGGCTCGGCCCCTGCCATGCTTTCAGGGGCCCTTCTGCTTCTCCTCACGAGTGCGACCGAAGATAAGGCAACACCCGCCCCCCCGCGCCCCGCCGTGAAGGCTGTCCCGCGGTGCGTCCTATCTCGGGGCCCTGGGCTCCCTTGCGAAGTTGGAAAGATGAGCAGCAACAGGCGAGTGCTTCCATAGTGACTCTTCCAGTATTAGCCTGCCTCATCATGCATCCTCCTGGGAGAGAAAAAGCTCTTCCCGAGCTCTGTCATTAGGTAATGTCAGTGGGCAAGAAAAAGCAGGTAATGAAAATTGGACACAAATGCAGAAAGTGAAATAAGATTATCTTTGTACATTCCAGTAAGAATTACAGTAATTTAATACCAACGTAATTTACTTGATGCAACTGTTCCATTATTTCATTTTTGCTGTTGAAAAATGTAAAATCAAAATTTTTCATACTATACCATTGCTATGACGTAACAGTGAGGGGTCTACTTGTACTTCTGTGCCCATTGCGCAGACAGAACATTAGCAACACATCCAGGGCTCTCCAGAGCTAAGTCCAGTGATGCTAGTTTCACCACTGCTGCACTGTAGAACCAAGAATTGGTTCAAATAAATGGGCATCAGAATCAGTATCAGCTTGGACCTCAGTCCTAGTTGTGGTCAGTTTAAAATTAGGAACGTCTTTCTAAACTCAAAGCATGTTCAGACAACTGAATGTAAAACTAGCACTATGTTTTATAAAAATGCTCAAAGGTGAGAGAACAGTTACTTAATTTCTCCTTTAATTTCTTATCTACCCTTCACATCAATTCTTACTTTGATATCTTTACTCTGGGTCCCAAATAGTTAATCATGGAAGCATCACCCCAGCTGTTACACACCTCTTTACCCCTTGGACAGAACATTGAACATATTTTAGAGTGAGTAGTGATGTCTGATGGCTGAGCTTAAAGTACGAGGAAGGAGTTTTCAGAGTATAAGGTGCCCGTAGCTCTTGGAGTCCAAGTCACAAGTTGATGAACTTGAAATGTTTAAGCAACTGCCAGTACTCAGTCACTTATGAAAGTTCATCTCATCCTTTTGTCACTCAGAAAAATTACAAAGGAGGCAGCAAGTCTTGGAAATACTCCGGAGATCTCCTGGCATTCAGAAGCAGGAGGGTTCTTAGCTAGATGTTTGTGACTCCCCACTTGCTGTTTGTAGGCATATTTCAAAGCTTGTCAGAGCCAGGTGAAGCACAGATGCCCATAAAGTGTCATGGCCAAAGTGAAGGTGTGCTAAGCCAAATTCTGATCTTACTTCAGCTTTAAATTGACTTTGGTAATACTCCTCCTGGTTGATACCGTGCCATTTGGCAGTATAGCTGAGTTCACAAGGCAGAGTGTCACTATGACTGTGCCTGCCCTGCCAGAGCAGCCAGATGCCAGCGTAGTACAATCCGAAGTGAATCGCGACAATCGGAATCAATAGGAAACAGTATGTGAATCACCCTTTAATGCACTCCAGGGTGAGTCATCCCAATTCAAACCAGCTTTCAGACCAGTACAATGTCAGTCAGCTCCTCACACAGTTCAGTGTGAGTCAGATCTCAGCACTGAGTACAACATGAAATGAGTCACCAACTAATACAGCACCATGTGCCTCCAGTACCCGGTGCGAGTTGTCAGAGCTTCTGTGTGATATGAGTCACTTCATAGTACAGTAAAATGGGCTTTTTGGAGACCATTCATAATTAAGCACAATGCAACCAAGCCCTCAGTAGGAGATGATGGGAGTGAGTAGAGTAATCTGCTACATGCAGCAGTTTCACTGCATAGTAGAGAGGTTTGTAAAATATTGGGATGAATGATTTTTTTTTTTTAAGCAAGCTACATAAAAATAACCAGAAGCAGATACTTTCTCTGATATCAGAGGCAGCCAAATCAGGGTTGAAGCCACAGTAAAACTTCCAACACTGGAGAAACCTGGGGGATTTTTTGTTTGTTTTTGCTTCCAAGAGAGCTGATCAGGCAGTGTGACTGACATACACCCAATGAGGCCGACTCCAGTTGCCATAAAAGACAAGGAAAGGGATGCCAAAAGCCTGTGCTGTGCAGAGGAGAAGGACTTGACACTGATTTAACTTAATTGCAGTTTGCAATGACCCAGTTTGTGAGGGGACTCAGCATGGGACAAATTTATATCCATACTTATATTCATACTGCTCCACTGTCATAGCATCCACATAATCAGCTGGACTGGAACAACAGGTTGCTTTTTCCATGCAGCTGGTAAAGAATTCTCTCATGTCTTTCCCATATTACAGAAGAAATAATAACAGACAGTGACCCTGCTAACTACATGTAAAGTAATATTTTCATTTAAGTCTCTTGTGATAAAATCCAAAGTAAAGCAATTCTTTATCCAGAGGAGATATAAGGCATCCCTCTAAGGAAAAAAAAAAAAAAAAAAAAAAAAAAAAAAAAAAAAAAAAAAAAAAAAAAAAAAAAAAAAAAAAAAAAAAAAAAAAAACACCAGCAACAAAAAAACCACCAAAAACACCCCACTCCACAAAAATCTCACTGAAATCCCAAGTAAGTCAGTTTCTTAACAAGAAAGTCAGATTTTAGTAGCAGAAAGACTTTAGTGCAGGAAGCTTTTTTCAGACAGTGGGCTGATGTATTGGCCAATTGGGCAGCACCGAATATTAAAGAAAAAGGAGGAGAAGAGGTCTCAGCCATTGGTAGAAAAATGCCTCAGCTGGAGATGATGTGATCAAGGCACCATTACCTGTTACTATGCGGGTGTGATACACTCTTGCCATTCCCTTTGAAATGTAAAGTAATATTTCAAGCTGGAGAGATGAACTCAGCTCCTCTGAGCTGCTGCTCCTCTGGAAAAAATAAATTAGGTCAAACAGGTAAAGGCACTCAATTTCCATGCATTTGACATAAAAGCACCCCAGAATTGTTAGTTAAACTCATGGAAGGACAACACTTTTGCAAGTTTATCCCACTTAAGCTTTTGACAGACTTGGGCGCAGCAACGACACAAAAAGTTGTTTTATTCCATGTTGTGGCCAGTCTCTTTTCTGCTAACCTCTGTCTTGCATTTACAAACTCTCAGCCATCTCAATCACCTCACCACAATGTGCGAAATCTCCAGTAATAGAAAGTAACTTTCGAAGAGTTCTTGCTCTCAACTTACTAAGTGGGCAATCCGACAACTATGCCTAAAGCATGTGCACATGTGTGGGTGAGTTCATTAACA